GCCCTACTCAAAGGGGCAAGCATGTCAAAATGAAAAAAATATTTGGAGTCAGTAAAGAAAATGACAGCAAAACTGGTGGGAAGGGAGATTTATAGGCTTACATTAGTAATTGCATTACATACATTAGTAATTGCACATCAGTGTGTAGGCTTAGTACATACATTAATAATTGCACATCAATGTACAGGCAAAGTGTCAGATTTAAAATGGAGTCATGGGAGATGGTGGGGTGAGGGGAGTAGGTAAGGGGGAGCTGATATTAAAGAGTTCAAGAAGGAAGAAAAAGTTTTGAAGCTGATTCAGGTAGCGATTGCACAACAGTGCTTGAAGTGATTGAACTATGGAATGGTATGGGGTCTGGATTAACTAATAAAATGATTAGGAAAAAAATTAAAATGGAGTCACAGTATAAACCTCAAGAAGTGAAAGGCAGATAACATAAAAGCAGAATTTAATGAGATGAAAAATGAAACCAGTTGTATGAACTCGTTAATCAAAGCTGGGTCTTTGAAAAGCCAAATAATATTAATAAAATAAGCATTACAGTGCTGTGACACTAGATGTGGAGCAGAAATCACGTAAATGACCAGTGCAAACAACTTTATGCCAGTAACTTTAAAACTCAGATGAAATGGAGAATTTCCTTTTTAAAAATTGTGAAATGCACATAAGACATACACGAACTTAATAGCTTTCTATCTTTTAAAGAAACTCAGGAAAACTTAAAAATCTATCACCCCCCAAACCAACTAACTAGCCTACATGATTTTCCAGGTGAGTTCTACCAAGATTCAACACTAGACCCCCACAGCTCAGCATACATCATTCCTAACGGTGAAACGCTGTACTGCCTGGTTTAACAGCATTCCCTCAAAAGTCCAGAACATAGGATTTCTATTCAGTATTGCATGGAGGACCCAGCCAGGGTAAGACAGAAAAAATAAAATTGTTAAGAAAAACTTGACAGCCAGTCAAATCCAGGCTGGAATCTATAAAACAAAATTCTGCCCACCGCCAAGTTGATTCTGAGAAATGATGACCCTATATAGGGGTTCTGGGATAGCAAATCTTTCTTTACTCATCTTCCCTCCTGCAAAGCAACTGGTGGGCTTGAGCTACCAACCTTGTGGTTTAGCAACTCACCACCACTGAGTGGGAAGGAAGGACAGCATGGCCCCTTTAGGTTCCTGAGACTTGAAATCTTTATGGGAGATTTGATTATGAAAGATTATGAAATCTTTCTCGTGAGGAGGGGCTGGCAGATTTAAACCACTGACCTTATGGTTGGTTAGTACATATCCCACTGTGCCCCCAGGGTTCCTCCCAGAAGAACACGAGCCTGGTAAATAAGATAGCACACACTATCAAGCTTCTGGAAATGTTGGAAGATTTGGACTCAGCTGGTGGGAGTGGAGGGGAAGTTGGAGAGCCACTTGGCAAAATCTCCCCAAACCGAAGCGGTCCGGCTCAGTAGAGGAGGTTCACACACGGCTGCTGCGGGTAGGTGACAGGGTATTGGAGCATTTTCACCCAGATGTCGTGCTAGCTCAGTAGGACACGCACCACTTAAAATGGACGATTTAAGACCTGGTCAGCAGACTTTCACAGGCGCCAGGTGGCCACTCCTCGGTTCAGTTCAGTTCGGCTGTTGCGGGTGAGAAGCAGCACTTACTGAGGAGGCCTGGCTGGGCACCGCGAGAACCTGACTACAATGGGCAGGTTTGGCCCGCAGGTCTGAGGTGGGCTGGCCCCTGCTCCTAAGCGCTGAGTCACAGCCGATTGTGATTAGCATCATTGAAGGGCACGCTAAGAACGGGCTCAGCTGGGGCCCTGAAGTGGCTACACCTCTGGGTGGTTTTTCTGAGGCCCAGGCTGCTGCTAGACCTGGGAGGAGGGCCCAGCCTCTCTGTTGGCACGTGCTCTCTGTCCCTCCCAGTCTTTGACCTCCTTCCTCCTCCAGAACTCTGGCCTGGTCGCCTGCCCGTGCCCCTGGAGGCCTAGGGCCTCGCCTGCCCCATGTACCTGAACTGCCCCAAACCACCACACGGACTTCCCCGAAACCGGCCCCTCGTGTAATTTTCTCTTCTGAATGTGTCAGTCCCAGAAGCTGGGTGGCTGGCGTCTTTCGCCCCGCCCCTCACCCTCCTCCAGTCCTGCCCTCAATCCTCTGAAATCTGCCTTGAGAAGCTCTCCAGAATCGGGTCACTGCCCACCTTCTCTGTGCCGTGGCAGGCTCAGAGCCACCATCATCTCTGTGGGGCCGTGGCATCCAGGAATCGGTCATGTCCTGCCCGCTCTCCCCTACTCAGCCAAGGCCGACCTTGGGCCCCGAGGCCCTTGGGGTCCAACTCCCCGATGCTCCTCAGGGCGCACTGGTGGTTTCAGCTGCGCGCTGCCTCCCTCGATTTGCCGCGGTGGGATTCCTTGTCCGAGTTTCCAGACTCTTAGTGGACTGTTTCTAAGACTGAAGGACTGAGGCCCACCCAGCAGCCCCAAGGCCTCTGCCAGGAGCACCCGCCTTCCGGCCCTCACGGGGCAATGGAGGCCGCTGCCTGCATGGGCCTGGGAGCTGGCCTTTCCTCCGCTGAGCTTTCCGTCCTCCCAGCTGCCACGTCGTTGCATGGCAGCGTAACGCAAGTTTAGTCAGTGAAACAAGTGAAACGTGACGTGTAGGATTCCCAGGAAGTCTCCTAAAAGGAAGAGGTCGATTCTTGACCCCCACCCATCCTCTGTCAGCCGAATGTGGCCCCTGCGGCTCCAGCAGCGATTCTGGATCATGAGGACGCGGTCGGTCCTTACAGCCTGGAGGTGGGAAACCGGCAGCTGAAAGAGCTACGGACCAGGTAAGCTGCTATGGGGGTTTTCCAGTATTTTCTGCAGAACCGAACTAAAATGGAAGTTAAAATGGATCTGTGACTCCCTCTGCTGTGCGCGCACACACCCTTTCCGGTCTTTCTCACTCGTGAAAGGCTAGGTCTCAGGGCTTGCATTTTCCCTTCTGAAATTCTCAGACCTGAAAGCTTGGCAGTGCTTTTCCAATCAATTCTTTCAGATTGTTTCCAGAATCTGATGTCATTGGCTAAGGGGGGTGGCCTAGCAGTCATTTTGTCTTGCTGTGTATTTTTATATCGACATTCTGAGAATGTATGCTCTGTCGGGGTCATCTGTATGTCTAGACTGAAACCTGGTACACAGAATTCACCAGATCATGGTTGAATGAAGTGCTGTCTGTACTGACTGCTGGGCAAGTTCCAGAAACCTCCTGCCAGTGTTTCCCAAGTATCTGAACGCTGATGCCTGCAAGTGAAGCATTCGGCCGGCATGCCGAAAGTGTTCCAAATGCAGAGTTAACAAAATACAAGTACCATTCTCTCTCTCTCTCACCTCTTTCCATCATTTTCTGGTGAACTAGGAGGTGGTAAAGCAGCCCAGGAGCTTAACTAAGTGCTTAACTGACAGGTGGTGGTTCAAACCCCCCAGCTGCTCCACAGGTGTGGTCATTAGCTTTCCTAAGACGGCGTCCTTGGAAACCTTTGGGGTCGCTGTGAGTCGGAATCAACTTGAGACAGCAAGGTTGAGTCTTAATAGAATGATCTTCCTTTTAGTTTTAATTAACAAATTTCCCTCTCCCTGTCCTCAGCCAATCCCTGACCTCTTCACTGTCAATCAAAGTCTTGTCTATTGGTGTATGTAAACCACGTCTTGTTTTGCCATATGACAATGGTTATGTGAACTGTTTATCTTTGTAAGATTGACCGAGTTTACTAAGCATAACACTCTAGTTTTGTCTCTTACGGTTTTTATCTTTTTTTTAAATTGATACATAAATTCTGTAGTATGAATGTCCTAGAGCTTGTTTATCCATTCCTCTACAGCTGGGTTTTTTGGTTGTCCCCATGTTTTTGCTATGGTGGAAATTGCTGCAGTAAACACAGGTGTACACATGTGTATTTGTGTTATATTCCACAGTAGAGCGATCGCTGGATCATAAGGTGCTTGGATTTGCATTTGTTTGAGGAAATGCCACACTGATTTCTGTAATGGTTGTAGAATTCTAGTCCCATCAGCTTTGGGAACAAGTTCCTATCCTTCCACATCCTCTCCAGCATATTATTTTATTAAATTTTGGCGAAAGTGCCAGTGTGAGGGGAGGGGGGGAAGGAGAGGTGATGGCATTGATGATTGTATAAACCCACCCGATGGGCTTCAACAACAGAATTGTATGTGGAAGGATATATTGGAATGTGAGATATGGCAATAACTTTTTGAAAAGTTAGATATGTATAGGCACTTGGTTGTATTTCTGGGTTTTCAGTTCTAATCTGTTGGTCTTCATTATCTATCATTGTACCAGTACCAGGCTATTCTAATTACCATGGCTATGCAGTAGGTTTTAAGGTCTGGAAGTGTAAGGCCTCTTACTTTTTTTAATTTTTAGTAGTGTTTTATTTATCCTAGGTCTCTTTTTTTTTCTATATAAGGTTAATAGTTTTTCCATTTATTTGAAAAATTGTAGTGGAATTTGGATTGGAATCGCATTGAATTTCTTCAGTGTTGCCTCTGCCTATCCAGGAACATAACCTTGTTTCATTTGTGAGTTCCTTTTTGGATCTTGAGGGAGTATTTTGTAGTTTTCTTTGAATAAATCTTATTTTTCTGGTAAGATTTATTCTTACTGTGGTTACTGTAAATGATATTGTTTTTATTATCTTTTTCTGTAGCGATATCCTTAATATACAAGACTCCAACAGATTTCTTGATGTTGATCGTTTAGCCTGCTACGCTTCCAAAATTCTCAATTAGTTTGAGCAATGGTTTAATTGAATCTTTGGGGTCTTCTATATGTAGGATTAAGTCATTGGCAGATAAAGGGATACCTTTAATTTCTTGTTGATGTCTTGGGGCTCTCGCTAAGCTTCCAGACTGTATTAGTGATAAAGGACAGCCTTGCCTAGTCCTCGATTGAAGAGGAAATGCTGTCAGTGTCTCATTCTGAGATGCAGGCTACTGGTTTCTTGTGACGTTATGAGAAATCATCTTCATCTCAGTTTCAGCCGAGTGCACTTCTGTAACAAGACAGTAGTTGCCATAAGCTAGGCGTGTCCGTGCAGGACCCTGAACAAACTGGCCTTGAGAGTGGGGTAGTCATGCCTGTTAGCCCACGGGAGCTGGGAATTAGAGGGCTTCTTTCAGCTGTTGAGTGCCGAGGCCCCCGACCCATGGAAGGTGAAGGGGGGGGGGTGTCCAGAGGCGACAGAGGGAATGCACCACCCAAAGGGTTGGGAGGCGCCCTACAGAAGGGCAGGGGATAGAACTCGTGAGCAATGATGGACCAGAATACAAGGTTGGGCTTGAAGCACATGCCAGGCTCTTCGTAGCCTGAGGAATCTGAGCATGTGAGGGCACGGAGAGGAGGGAGGCTGGTTGGTGCAGTTCCTAGGCTCCACTGTGCTCTTGAGTGATGGACAAGCAGCAGACTGCCCCAGAGGCCAAGTACACAGTTGCCTCTGCCTCTGGCTCCGCTGTTAGGTGGTGGGAGAGCAGACCAGCAAGCTGCCTGCGGCCTGTGACGTACTTGGATGACTTGCTTCTCGTATACGACTGATCAGCTTGTTCACTGCCCTGGTCCTTGTTGTATCCCGACTTGATGTGTTTACCAACATCCTCCCCCACTTCTGTCCATCCGCCCTTCCTGCTGTGCTTCCCAAAATTTGGCAAGTAGACACACCAGGACTTGGGAACTGGCTAGGATTCCCAATTTGAAAAAGTCCACGTGTGCGGCCGAGTCAAGCATTCGAGAGGATGGAGAAAACCTCCAACAGCGGTTCTCCACTTTCCTCATGTTGTGGGGACCCCCAACCATAACATTATTTTCATTGTTACTTCACCACTGTCATTTTGCTACTGTTATGAATGGGGTGACCCCTATGAAAGGGTTGTTTGACCCCCAGGGGCTCATGACCCCCAGGTTGAGAACCGCTGCTCTAAAGTATTTCTGTTCTGGGAGGGTTTCCTAAATACATTGCTGGAGAAAGGGCAGTGCAAGCTCACAGAGCACAGGTGGGGCTGAGCTGAAGTGGCGGGTGCAAGTTGAGGCCCTCAGGGTCGTGGCCCCTTCCTGGGTGATTAGAGGAGGGTGGCCGCTCAGGTGTGTAAGCATTTGTCAGAAGTCAAGACTGATACCAAGGTTTGTGTTGGTCACCGTCCATTCCCTCCCCATCACAGGCAATAGGCCCTCCGATGTGTTTGGGAGGTTAACATACGGGAAACGCACCAAAAGCAAGTTGCGCAGGTGGAGGACTAGATAATAGGCGGTAAGGAACTATAGTGGCGATGTTACAGAATTTAGGTAGAGAAGTTATTTCAACTTTTCTGTTTGAAAATTTCTGTAACAAAATGCAGGGGTGGGGCACACCTGCACCTTTACTTTGCCACAAAAGGTGTCCCTTCCCCATACCCAAGACCCCCCCGCCAGTTACCAACTGTAATAGGTGCTGAGGCCCACACACTCGCCACTGTAGGTACAGAAACACGGTTTTTGTATATTTACCATTTAGAATTTTAAAACTTACATCTTTACATCTTAAGAGTTGTCCACAATTATCTGTGCTACAAACCTGAATCCACCCAGCTGGGGTCTACGGAAAACCTCAGTGTTGGGAATCTCCAGGCCCCGGTCTTTCCACAGCCAGAAACAGCCTACATGATTCTGATGGGAACTTTAAAACCAATTTGAGGGGGTGGCAGGGACCCTATACTGCAGGGAGAGGCCCACCTCCAAATTTCTCCTGCCCATAGCCACCTTGGCACCTGACCTCACGGCCTGGGGTAATATTGTTATCAGAGCCGTTGTCCTTCTGGGGCCAGGCACCTGACCAGCATGCATGCTGGCCTCACACCTCTGAGAACAAGGGGAGATTTGTTTAGAACACAGACTCTGCCTCTGGAGGGTCAGCCTGATCTGTTCTGCACCCTGCACCCCAATGGGCTGCTTGGGTGTCCCAGGGCCAATTGAACTGTGAAGACCTGGCTGGAGCCCAGTGGCATAGTGGATTATACACTGGCTGCTTACCCACTAGCTGCTCCGAAAGAGAAGAGCTACTTGAAAGGATTGTTCGCTATGCAGGCTACATGAGGACCTATCACCTTAAACTCTCATTAAAATAGGATTTCAAAAAATGTTGCCCAGCCTCCGTAGCCACCCCTTAAGTTCTGCAGAGTATATTTTACTCTCCTGAGACCATTAAGGAACCGACATTGGAAAATTTGAAAGTGTTTTTGCTAAGAAGACCTGCTGCTGCAGATAGCAGCTGCTTCTGGGGAAGGTAGGTGAATAAAGGTGAGGGTTTCAAGGTTTGCACTGAACAGTTTTAAACCTTTCCTGTCTTACAAAGTTGGGAGCGTGGTAAGAAACAGATGTGGTCTTGGGGCGGTGGGAACGATGAAGTGCTGCAGATGGCAGCTCTGTGCTTGGCATGGACACACTCAGGTACTCTGGATTAGCTGGACTTCTGGGGGGGGGGGGGGGGGGGAGAGAGAAGGGGCTGAGCTTTGAGTCTACTGGCTGTGAGCCCTCAGGCGAGCCCTGCCCAGCACGCGCCCCTCCTAGTGGCCGTCTCCACACACCTGGTGAGTCTGGGTGGGCCTTCACCATCATCCCCTCGGCCTTCTCCAGTGCAGGCTAATTGAAGAACCCAACAAATGCCACTTAAAACACTGGTGGGACAAAATAATTTATGAATTATGAAGGGTTCATGAGGGAAGGGGAGTGGGGAGGGAGGGGAAAATGAGGAGCTGATATTAAGGGCTCAAGTAGAAGGCAAATGTTTTGAGCATGATGAGGGCTACACATGTGCTTGACACAATGGATGGATGTATGGATTGTGATAAGAATTGTACGAGCCCCCAATAAAATGATTTAAAAAACCAACCATTGGTGGGAGTGGAAAATAACATGAAAGGGACCCCGGTGGAGGTCAGCAGTCTGAACCCATCAACTGCCCCCCGAGGGACAGAGACGAGGCCTTCTGCTCCCGTAGACTCCGCCTCAGAGACCCCCAGGGGCAGCGGGCAGTTTTACAGCGTCCTAGAAGGTCACTATGAGTAAGCATCGCATTGAGGGCAGTGAGTGTGGGCTTGTGGGAGGGCCACCAATGCTATCCCAGGCTAAGCTCAGTGAGTGTGGGGCCACGGGCCAGGAGGTAGTGGCTGATCACAGACCAAGAGGCTACCCAGGAAGAGTGAGGCCTTCGTAACCTAGTATTTACAACACAACAGCAGGGTAAGCAAGCCTTTAGGTTATTTTTAGGTAAAGAAAAACAGACTTTTCCAAGGGCGACAGGTGAACTGAAGGTCAGGAGGAAGCAGGCGGGGGCTCCTCACAGCCCTTGCTCCGACCCCCAGGTGCCATGGGAGGGATCTCTGGAAGGGGAAGGCCCTGCCGCGGGACCTCGGCAGCCACAGGTGCGGCAGAGCGTTCCTTCCACAGGTGGGGCGGGCGAGGCAGCAGCTCTCCCTTGGTCGCTGGATTGGCTTGAGTGTATGATTCCATTTGTAGTGGATTGGCATGATTTACGCTTGGGGGCAGGGGGATTAATTTAAGGACTAACATAAGGAGCCGAGTAGCTTATTCGGTTGGATTCTGAACCACAATCAGGAAATAGTCTTTATCTGTAAAAGAGAAAAACGAAAAAGGACAGATCACTAAATGTTAAGATGAGAGAAATACAAAGTGTTAAAAAACAAAACCAAAAACACACTCAACCAAACCACTAAACATAAAAGGCATAACATGAGGCTGAGGCTGAGAATGGAGTGGTGTGCCCGCAAGCCAAGGACTGCCGGGGTCAGCAGGAGCCCCTAGAAGCTGGGGAGCAAGAGACAAGTGTCCCCAAGAGCCTTTTGCCTCGGCAGCACCTTGAACTCCTGACTTCAATACTTTGCTTTTAAGGGGAGAAGTACCCAATAAAAATACCATCTTGCTGAGAAAATAAGATAAACCTGCAAGTCTCCTGTGGGGATTGTCACCAGGACCCAGTGCCTAGGGATCACAGCCCTGCTGATCCCCCAACAATACAATCCCCACACAGCATGAGGGTGAAGCCCTGGGTCCAAGGCCAGCAAGCCTCAGGCAGCGGTGACCTGCGGTGCCGACAGGAGGGTTTTCAGTCTTCAGGGAGCAAATGGCCAGGTCTTTCTCCTGTGGAGTGGCTGGTGGGTTAGAACCGCTAACCTTCAGTCCCTGTGCCACCAGGGATCCTCTGTTGTTTGTTTCCATTAAGTCAATTGGCCTCATGATCACCTACACATTCACAAGTCGCCCCCAGTTTCTGGCTCAGCGTGACTGAGGTGGGCCCAAGAATTTGCATTTCTACTAGTGCTCAGGTGCTGCAGCTGTTGCTGGGAGAACTACAAGTCCCAAGGTCACCAGCTAATTAGTGGCAAAGAAGGAATTCGGAGCTCAGAGACACAGGTTCTGGGTTAAAGTAAATTTCTGTTACAAGCTCAGCTTCTGGCCTGCTAGCCAAGTTTCCAAGGGCACCAAGTTGAAGGAAGTCGGGTTGCTTGGATCCAGTTCTGGGGATTCCACCAAGCAAGGTGGGAAGTTGTAGGAATCCAAGGCAGAATGAAGTTCAGAAGGGAGTCAGATCAGACCTTCCCTCGTTTTATAGAAAAGTGGAAAAGCAGGAAGCTCCAAATGTACCTACTCAATTTTCAAAGCTGCAAAAATGATCAAGGCTTCCAGGTTCCCCAGGCCTGAACTGATCCTCAAATGCAGAGGATTCTGAAGCAGGTAAGGGCGCTTTCCCAACCCACAATGAAAACACGACTTGGGGTGTGAAATGACTTGCTGATTAGTATTGTGGTTAAGGCCTGACCTACCTGCTCTCTGTTGTCATCAACAACTGCAGAGAAGGAAGCTTATCTGCCATGATTTTCTCTATCGGGCACAGCACCACCTTCTCGCAGTTAGGGACAAAAGACAGCCTACGCTGGGGGCCATTTTAAACAGCACAATCAACCACCAGAACACCCCGCCACAGTCTGAGCTGAAACAGGCAGAGGACCGCCTGTCACCTCAGCTGGGCATATCTGTTGGACACGCAAATTCTTTACTGCTCTGTGCATGTCCACAAATGACTATGGGAACATTGTGAATGCTGGTTTGGGGGCTGCCAATACGTTTCAGACAAGCTGACAAATACAGAGGGTGCAAATGAAAATGGAGTGTGCACGCAGAACACCCAATCAAGACCAGGGAAAGGACAGACTGCTGGGAGAAGCAGGGTGAACGGCAGGGCCGGCCTTCCCAGCCTGGAGACCAGACCCAAGAGCAAAAAGGCTGTGGGAGCGCGGGAGGCCCCCAACTCCAGTAGTAGTGAGGGTGTTCACAGAGAAAATGTGCCTTATACCTTGATGGTCACCTCAAAATATCACCCCCCCACCCCACCAAAGCATATAAAGAGGGGGTGAGGAAGGAGAGAAAGGAGCTTAGGTAAGGGGTCTGGCCACCTCACTTAAAAAGAAAAGTAATTCATATCATACAATTCAATCATTCACATGAAAAGAACTGTGTAAGCAGCACCCCAGTTTCATGGCCTCTGCACTCTTACATCCACTAACAGGGCTCTGGGCCCTCGGGGGCTACCCACACTTGCCTGGGCAAGAGCGTTGCCCTGTGGTTCTTTTGCTGCAGAACCATAAATGGCTAGGGGTTCTCAGGTGACTGTTTCAAAGACTATATTCTCAAAACCAAGAGACAATGCTGTTGAGAGTTCATCGGATTTGGAGGCCGGGTAATTTCTCCTTCCTACACATTGCTAGCACCCATGGGGGAGGACCACCTGGGACCCCGAGGTCTGCCAGGACACTTGGCTTGCCTCCAAGGCAGTGAAGCTATGTCCGGGGAGCTGTGGGCACTTGAGGCTGGCTCTAGGGTTCTTTCACAAGCACCTGAGTGGCAGGGCTGGGCCAAGCAGGCCTGGGGACAGAACCAGGGTCCCTCTTTTCAAATTAAGCAGAGTTCTGAACTCTGCAGCCAGCCTCCTTACCACCTGTGTTGCCGAGTCCAGTGCCCCCCTTCAAGTGAGCCTTAATACAAGCCTGCCACCCCTGGCCAGGGAAGCCTCCGCATACTGGTAAAGTGCACACAGCTCAGCGTAGCCTTTGAGGCCCCTCTTTGCTAAGTTGGATCCATCTCACCTCCTGCTCCACTCACCCTCACACATTCCAATGTTCTAGAGCAGCGGTGCCACCATCACGGGTACATTTCGTGTTTGCATTCAACAAGCTCAGCCCCCAAAAGAGGGAAGACACCAGAAGGAACAATGCAGACCGGTCCTGGGGGACAAACATCTCACCAGCCGAGAGACAAGCATTGTTTGTCCTGCACAGCTCCCTGAGGCAAGCCAAGAACTTGCAAAAGGCAGAGTCTGGCCACAGAGGCAGGGGTGCACATTACAAAATGAACAGGTCCAACATCCCCAAGGATAATAACTACAGATATAAGGGGTTTGCTCTTGCACCTTGGTTTAGAACTAATGAATTCTTTCTCCTCCAAACATAAGCCCCCCTCCCCTCTGCCGTGCTCACAGTTTCCTGTGCTCACATGCCACCTTGCCTGGGGGAAGCCGATTAATCACACCCTTCCCTTTATGTTCTCAAGTGGCCCTGGTGTTTCCCCATCAGGGCAAAGGTCACACTGTTCCACTAATGTGCTAGTCTATCAGGGGACCAGGCTCCCATGGGAGGCCTAGAACCAGGAGAGGCGGGCCTGCCGTCACTGGATCCATGTTTGTGGGGAGCTGCCAGGGGACAGGCGATGGGATTCCTGTGACTGCAGCTTCTGGGGGAGCCTGAGGTGCGCTTTCCTATTCCACCAAGCAGCGGCTGTGAGAGGCGGAAGGCGCCTTACCTGGTGCAACCATAATTTCATTTTTCTTGGAACGAATTCGCAGGAAGGTGAGGTCATTCTGGGGGTCGATTTCTCGCACAGTGCTCCTTGCCTTCAGGATGAAGCTGTGCATGAGGTTGGCGTACTGTGTGGTGGTGGGGTTGTCCATGGTGCTTTTGATGGGAATGCCTGAGGGAGAGAGAACAGAGACCAGGTGGGAATGTTAGAGGCGTTCCCAGCTCTACGTTCCCTAATTCTCCAGAATCAGACTGCAGACAGAGTCCATGACCCTGTACTGAGGGCCTGTCTCAACACTAAAGTCCGCCAATGTCAGTCCCTTCGAGGACATCTGCATCTCCGGTACTGCTGGTGGGCTGGTAGGTGGTCACTTCCTAAGGCCACACAGCAGATAAGCAGTGGGGCCAGGATTCCAATACAGGCTCCTGTCACAGGGCTCCTGTGTTAACAAGTTTCTAAGAGTAAAAGGGAAGACGAACACCCACAAGCCTTAGGAACAGTGGTTTTCAACCTTCTAATGCCGCGACCCTTTCAGAGAGTTCCTCATGCATTGGTGACCCCCGCCCCCCACCATAAAGTTATTTTCGTTACTGCTCACAACTGTAATTTTGATACTGCTATGAATTGGGCAACCCCTGTGAAATGCTTGTTCAACCCCCAAAGGGACGAGACCCAAGCTTGAGAACTGCTGCCTTAGGACCTGGCCTGAGAGACCAGCTCTTGTATGCCCGCGAGGGCTGAAAAGCAGGAAGAAAGGTCTGCCTGTACCAACCACAAAGGGGTTGGGTCCCGTTTCCATGGAGGGACATTCAGGTCCAGGGGAAACACAGTCTGCAGTTTCTGTCTGTGCAGACCAGTGTTGTCCAAAGTGGGCAGTACCGTCCCCCAGGGGTGCAGGAGCAACCCAGGGGCTGCAAACGCAGACACCTACACTTCATTCTGGATTATGGCTACAATACGTTTTTCAAACAAACAAACGGGTTTTCATTGCGGGGGCTGGGGGCACTGAGCAATCTCCCGTCCCCCAAAAGGAGGTAGTAGGCTCCCTCGGTTGGGGTAAATAGCTGTCCCCATGGCTGCAAAGATGCTGCCAAGTCCCAGGCCCTCTCTGGACACTCCAGCTGGGGCTTTCCTAGTGGGACTGGCAGTGTAGGGGCACCAGAGGCATCAAGCCTTCCCAGTTTTGAGGACTGTTTTCCTCGGAGGAGCTATTAAATGAACCTGCCTCTGTGGACGGTGCCGGTGCTCATGGAGCTGAGCAATGTCGCCAATTTCAGCCACCTCATCACAACTGGGCCACCAGGTGCCTGTGAGTCGGCCATGACACATCGGCAGGAAGCTCCATCCATGAGCTGCCCAGTTGACATTCGCCAGGGAAGAAGATGGCACTCCTGCCCCTCACTGAAGTGGCCAGAGTTTGGGCACAAGACTCTGCAAACCAGGCCCACAATTGATCAGCCAAGGCAGTCATCCCCAGACTACCCAGTGGGAGGCAAGAAACTAGCCCAACCTCAGAGCACCGGGGGCAGAAGAGGGAACACAGTCTAGTAGAAGCGGCGCATTCAGGCTGACTGTTAGGAGCCAAATCGGGAGACGTCACAGTGGCCACTCTTGTTTAAGAGACAAACTGACCACATCACCAAGCTGCTGGGTCCTGGAGGACAATAGTATGAGCGGTTTCAAAATGTTCTTGGAAAAATGTAATTATGAGCAATGCGCCCATTACACTCATTGCACACTGGGATGATGATTAGGGATATGACAACTTGAACTTACACCCCAGTACTGCCTTTAATGACCATGTGGCCTCAGGCAAGTGATGTTACCTCTCCAAGCCTCCATCTTATTCCCTACTCCGACCTGCAGCTTCAGAGTGCTGCCGCACACCCGCTGTTGCAGGCAGGCCTGGCCCACGGCAAGCCCGTGCACAGGCCATGCTCAGTCCCAGGCTGGACTGCTGTGACCCACAGGGTTTCCAAAGGCTGCCTTGTGGACGCACATCACCATGTTTCGTCCTTGTCTATTCAGCAGCACAGGCCTCCAAGGACAGAGTGAGACGCTCCTCAGCCACCACTGCCTGTGCTGTGAGGCTTACATGTGGCTTCTTCCTTCGAGTACTTAGCAAAGACTGGGCATTTCCTAAATGTCAGCTGGCTCTCAACATCTCCCAGCAGATCCCATTCCCCAGAGAATCCGAGGTGGCCTTCCTGCACCTGGAATGGCCGTGATGTGACAGAGCAAGAACAAAAGCTGGGATGGGACAGGAGCCCAGGCTGGCTGCTTCTGCTATGTGGCAGGAAACGCCCCTTAGTCCACTTTTGGGTTCTGATCAAGCACTTTGACAAGACTACCTTTTGTCACGTCCTCTGCCTGGGCCATATGTGACTCCACTGATTCTTCAAGTCTCCCTCTTCTAGTGCCCCAGCCATCCTCAGACGGAGCAGGTACTCACCACTAGTAAGCAGGGGGTGACATACTTCATCACCTGTGAGCTCCCTGAGAGCAGGGGTCACCAGTGCTTTGGGACAACTTGCCACAAGGGCTACTTTGAGTGGTTCTGAAAAATACTGGCACAAGATGGAGCAAATTCTTAACCGGTAAGAGGTTTGAAAAGGAGATAGGGCACTAACCAAAACAAAACACGGGGTGCGTGGGGACCGAATGAGAGAATGTCACACAAGAATAAGAGATCGATCCCAGATTCCCAGGCAGCCAGAGCTGGAAGCCAGCAGAGATGGGCCAATGATTAAAGTCACCTGATCCAAAGATCTACTGTCACAGGTTAGGTGCAGCCCGTGAGAGGTAGCTGATCACTGTGTGGGTATTTTTTTTTTAACCCCGGGCTTTGGCCTGTCAGGTGGTAGCCAAGAACCTCTCTCATCAGTTCCTTTAGCCACAAAGAAAAAAAAAACATTACAAACCTATTTACTCAGTACCATCTACGTGACAACCTTCTTCCAGGCCAGGGGCCACAGCAAATCAAACCCACCGCCGCTGAGGAGACCGCACAGGGCTAGGTAGGGGTCAAAGGATCTCTGCAGGCACAGGAAGCTGCCACGTTCTCCAGTGGAGCAGCTGGTGAGTTTGAACTGGAGATCTGGGGGTGGAAGCCCAATGAATAGTCCACTATGCTGTCACACAGCAGTGAACACAAAAGGTACCCTTGCTTATACTTCTGCCATATAAGAAGTGGCGAAGAGTGACAGAGGCCGGGAGAGGGGTGTGCTAGGTGCCACTGAGTCGGCCCGATGCAACACTGCCCAGTCTTCAGAAAAGCCGGCTTACTGCACGAAGAGGGTGGCGTCAGAATTGGAGGAGGGCTTATTAACAACCTGCGGTATGCAGATGACACACCCTTGCTTGCTGAGAGTGAGGAGGCCTTGAAGCGCTTGCTGATGACGATCAAGGATTGCAGCCTTCAGTGTGGATTACAACTCAATGTAAGGAAGACCAAAATCCACACAACTGGACCAACAGGTAACATCATGATCAATGGAGACAAGGTTGACGTTGTCTTGCTTGGCCCCACAATCAACGCTTATGGAAACAGCAGTCAAGAAACCAAAAGACGAGGTGCGTTAGGTCAATCCGCTGCACAAGGACTCTTTAGAGTCCTGAAGAGGAAGGGTGTGACTTTGAGGACTAAGGTGCACCTATTCTCCATCGTCCCACGTGCATGTGATAGTTGGACACCAAATAAGGAAGCTCGTAGAAGAATCAGCGCTTGAATTGTGGTGCTGGAGAAAAGCACCTAGACTGATAAAAGGGCAGACCGGTCTGTATTGAAAGAAGTAAGGCTAGACGGCAAGACTTTGTCTTACAGACTTTGGACATACTGTCGAGAGAGATCAGTCCCTGGAGAAGGACATCAAGCTCGGTAAAACAAGAGGAAGGTGCTGGACAAGAGGGACGGACACCGTGGCTGCAATACTGGGCACAGGGACAGTTGTGAGGCTAGTGCGGGAGGGCGATAAATAGAATCAATGTCCCTTGACTTCTTGCTAAGGCTGTTCAGACTCACACTTCTGTTATGAAACACCAGCTGAATTTACTCAAAGCAGAGCTTTAGAAGGCAGTGGCAGGTGTTTGGTAAGTGACCAGGACAAGAGTGTGTCACAGGTTCAGAGGCAGGAGCAGTCACTGTGAGCTGGGTGGTCAAGGGACCCTGAAGGAAGACAGCTGAGGCAAATCAGGGGTGGGAAAACCCTAGATGAGATATAAGAGAAAGCCCTCATACAAGTGACCTTAAATAATCATCTTTAATAGAAGGTTCTCAAGGGCCCTGGTGATGTAATAGTTAAGCAGCTGGCTCTGCTGGAAAAAGACCTGGTGGTGTCCCATAAAGATCACAGCCCAGGAAAGCCTATCAGGCAGTTCTACTCTGTCCTGTAGGGCCTCTGTCAGTGGACACACCAGCACTACCAGGGGGCTTCAAGGCCCATTCAGAAGCGAAATAATCAGCCCAGAACTTGGGTTCTGCATGCCCACACTGTCCACAGCTGGATGGCGGGTGGCGTTAGGACAGTCACCTCATCTCTCTTAGCCTCAGGTTCCTCTCCGGAAAAATGTGTCATCATGCAAAATGTAAATGAAAGGTCAAAATAGTTCTGTGAATGGGTTACAAGTCAAGTCTATGTAACTGTAGACACACACACATTTCTATGATGCTTATTATGTATCAGGACCTATTCTAAACGCTCCCCCGAGGAAGTGTCCTTTTAGCCACATTCTATAAATGGTTGGTACTTGCCCAAGGTCCTAGAGCTGGTAAGCAGAACTGGGCAGCCTGTTTTGCACTGGAGGCCCACATGATCCAATGTGGGGCACATTAACTGCCCTGAGTCTCAGTTTCCTTGTACATAAAATGGGTGATGTAAAGAATACCTGCACAAGAGAGGGGAGAAGACATCTGAGGCAGGAGTTAAGGCAAGAAGACTTAACAGAACAAGCAAGCACCCTGGGGTGCATGGTAAGCAGTATTCTTGGGTCTGGTCTAGGCTTGTTAGGTCAGAGGGAGAGGAGGAGGAGCTATCTAGAGCCGAGGCGACACCAATGAATGGGGCAACACGTGTGGCCTGGTAACACGAACCCTGTGGGTCCCCCTTGGCCCAGGAGCCTGGTTTATGTAAACGTGCTCAGGGATCCGCGGGAGCACAGCCACTCGCCTGTCTCTGGCACTTACTGTGTATCAGGCTCTCTGGTGTTCACTGTTCGTTCATTTTTATAACTCCATAGGTAGACCTAATTAATCACTACATTTGTAGACATATGTGTGCCCGAGGTCACAAAGCTAGTCAGGAGTGGAGCCGGGATTCAAACTCAGTGCAGCTGGATTCGAGCATCCGCTCTGCCCCTCGACAACAGTGGTGAGGTGAGAAAGGGCACTGAGATCCAGGGGAGGTGACCTACTCCCAGGTTTTTCCTTCACATAGAGGCACCAGGGTGCTTGAAGGCATGAATGAAACAATGTGTCTGCGAAGCATCAGGCTGTGGACTGAGAGAGGTGTGGGATGGTCGGTAGCTCCGCTTCCCAGGCTCTGTGCAGCTGGGAAGCCTGTTTATGCTAATGGGAGTAATCCAAGAGCCTCTTAGGAGAGGGGGAGGCTACAGGCACAAAGCAATGGGGGATAGTTAATTAATATGCATGAAAATATTATATCTTTTTTTGTTTTTCTTTTTAAAATCATTTTATTGGGGGCTCATACAACTCTTATCACAATCCATACATACATCCATTGTGTCAAGCACATTTGTACATTTGTTGCCCTCATCATTCTCAAAACATTATCTTTCTACTTGAGCCCTTGGTATCAGCTCCTCATTTTTCCCCTCCCTCCCCACTCCCCCCGCCATGAACCCTTTATAATTTCTAAATTATTATTTTGTCATGTCTTACACTGTCTGACATCGCCCTTCACCCACTTTTCTGTTGTCCGCCCCCCAGGGTGGGGGTTATATGTAGATCCTTGTGGTTGGTTCCCCGTTTCTACATCATCTTCCCCTTACCCTCCTGGTATTGCTACTCTCAATATTGGTCCTGAAGGGATCATCTGCCTTGGATTTCCTGTGTTTCCAGTTCCTATCTGTACCAGTGTGCATCCTCTGGTCTAGCTGGACTTGTCAGGTAGAATTGGGATCATGATAGTGGGGGTGGGATGGGGGGGCAGAAGCATTTAAGAACTAGAGAAAAGTTTCATTATTGCTACACTGCACCCTGACTGGCTCTCCCCCAGATCCTTCTGTAAGGCGATGCCAAGTTGCCTACAGATAGGCTTTGGGTCTCTACTCTGCACTCCCCCTCATTCACAATGATATGACTTTTTGTTCTTTGATGCCTGATACCTGATCCCATCAACACCTCGTGATCACACAGGCTGGTGTGCTCATTCCATGTGGGCTTTGTTGCTTCTCAGCTAGATGGCTGCTTTTTATCTTCAAGCCTTTAAGATCCCAGATGCTAGATCTTTTGATAGCCAGGCACCATCAGTTTTCTTCACATTTGCTTAAGCACCGCTTTGTCTTCGGCGATCATGTAGGGAAGGTGAGCATCATGGAGTGCCAGGTTAATAGAACAAAGTGTTCTTGTGTTGAGGGAGTACTTGAGTGGAGGCCCAATGTCTAAGCCTATAAATATATGCACATAGATCTATTTCCCCATCATCCTACATAAATATCTTTACATATGTGCATGCCTGTATTTAGACCTCTATAAATGCCCTTTGCCTACTAGTTCTTTCCTCTATATCCTTTGACTTTCCTTTTGTCCCACTACTATCATGTTTGGCCTTCATTTGGGTTTCAGCAATTCCTCTTGGTTACATTGCCCTTGATCCTTTTATATATGTACAATTAATATACTGACGTTAAAGAATTTGCTTTCGAAAACCACAGCATATATTCATATGTACAAGGCTCATACATAAACACTGAAAAGTCACCATTCTGAACATGACCATGAGAAAACATGCCTCGGAAATGGCTGGAAAAGCAGGGAATCACTGAAATGTGTGTTGTCAGGGCAGGGGGCCGAGTGAAGTTTTCCTTTCTAAGATTTAGAATTCTAGTATTACTGGCTAGAGCACTGGATTAAAAAATAAAAAGCTGACCAGGAGGTGGATCACCTGTTTTGAGGACCTCAGGGCAGTGCAGCTAGGGGGAGGCCTACCTTCCGTGTTCACCACGATGATCCCCTGCACACCCTTCTGGCTCTGCAGTCGCTTCAGGGTTTCTTCCACCTCTGCCTGCCAGAGAGAAGCAGACCAGGGTTAAGAGGGCCAGGAGGGCTGGAGGAATCCCACATTTGTATCTTTAACAATAACTAAGGCAACACCTGTCACCTCCTCAAAGCTCCCCAGGCCTCAAAGCTCCAAAGGTGATCCTTAGGCCACCCCACCCCACCCCAGTCTAGGGGAGAGCTTCTCCCAATCCTGAGCCCACCTGACACTGTTGATCCTTCCCTGCCCAGCCATTTGGGACACAATAAACATCATTCCCAAGAGTATATACACAGTCATGACTCACACATATAACATAAATGGGTGACATGTCTAACAGGAAGGAGACACTTAGTCGTTCATGGTCCAAACAGCACAACTGAAAACATTTCAGAATAAACAAAATGGGTCCATGAGGATAGGCCCAGTGACTAAACTGGCATCTGATACAGCATGACACACAGCACACAAGCCATCGAGTCAACCCTGTAGGACAGGGTAAAACTGCCCCCTGTGAGTTTCTGAGACTTGACAGTTTATGAGAGTTGAAAGCCCGTCTTTCTCCTGAGGAGCAGCTGGTGGTTTCAAACTGCGGACCTTGCAGATTGAAAACCCAACTCCTGGCACCACTGGACCACCAGGGCTCCTCTGGTGCCTCAAAGGGGGTATGCCAATCCTGATCTGCAGAAAACTAGCCAGGGAAGCCACATGGAGCCATGATGATGGCAGCCAGAGCCCTGGGGATGCTTCTACTGCCACTGGATCCAAAAGACTCCACCCGTGGCCTGCGATCTTTCTTCATTCAGCATCTTTGCATGTGCTGTGTGAGTCTGAAGAGCAATTTATGAACTAGTATCAAACATATGGGCTAATATCAGACTTATGGATTTGATCTGGACCGGATGTTTTCCTGATTCATAATTACTTCTTGATATAAAGTTCTCTCGTACACATTTTTAAAAAAAGAAAAGACTAATCAGGGTGGGATACTGGACACACGGACTGTATACATAGAGGGGACAGTAGGACATCTGGGTCTTCACGCTGTCACACCAGGCCTGCTCTATCACCAAGTCAACCTCTCGTACCTGTCCCATTTTTCCCACTCTCCATCCATTACCCAGACTTCCCTAGCTCCATAGCTTTCTACTTGACAAGGCTGCTTCTCTGCTGAAATCCAACAAATTCTTTTAAGCCATTTATGAAATTGCTTCCTCCCTCCAGGAAACATTTACTGATCCCCAACCCGTAGCTATTCTCTCGGGCTTGTAGGAGATTCTGTGCTGAGTCTCTGCAGTAGTCTACAGAGTAGGGGACTCAACAACTACTGATGCGCTGATCGAGACGTAACTCTTTGGCTAGAGACTGGCCTTGATGTGTGCTGCTTGCTCAAGAAGCCCTCTCCTGACTGGCCCAGAATCCAGCCAGCAGCTCCTCAAAGCTGGGCGTCAGCCTGTTGGGGACAGAGCTCCATTTACCAGGAGTTACCCGTCCCCAGGAGGCGGGGTTCCTAAACAGTAGGTAGAGGTGGCCCAGAGAATTATTGTTTTTCTAGAGGGCACAGGCTGACAATGTAGTCACCACCACCCACTCTCCGGTGGTGTAAGAGTACTGCAAATGCCAGCTGATGTTGTAAGTGCCACTGTGTTGATTTCCTACTCATAGCAGCAGCTAGAAGTGCCCCGCAGGGTTTTCTCGGCTGTCATCTTCACAGGAGGCACGATGTGCAAACAGGGGCCTCCAACACAATGACAGCTAGCCGGGGACCCGGAGAAAGGACAGGCTTGTAGTTGTAAGAGTATATATACCACAGGGGGTCACACTGAGAGAGTCCATTCACAGCCTTTCACTGCGCTCGGACTGTGTCAAATGCTACCCCGAGAGTGGTCAATTCTCCACACCCTTCCTCAAAAGTCGTTGAGGCAAATCTTCCCAAAGGATGAAAGAGATGAACGCAGCAGTGACGTCAGCAACATCTAAAAGCAGAAAGATCTCAAAATACCCACACTCGGACAGGTCAAGGGCAGCACAGGCATCCATCCAGAGGACGCGACACTCCCATGAGCAGTGGTGTCACTGTGTGAGAACACCAGCAGTGTATCACAAGTGAGAGCAAATCGGAGAAGGGAAGTTCGGTGACTGAAGGCACATGAAACAAGATAGGGCTGGAGATTACGGGGGAAGCCACAATAAGAGCAGACAACTAGAGAGAAGGTAGGTCCCCTGCCCCACACAGCTCTAGCGCTTTTTATTGACTACATTCTTCCTACTTTAGCACAATTTAAAAGCTTTCCTCTCTGTGAGCATCCAAGAGTCTGTGGTGTGGAGGCCAGCAGCTCTGACCCACTAGACAATGAGCAAGAAGCAGACAGCCCAGTCTTCAGAGTCAACCCAAGAAGGAAAGGGAAAGAAAGGTACAGGATAGATGTCCGAAACTAGGTCTGAAATACTTGTCAGATGCCAGAAAATGGGGCTGGAGATGACATTGCAGTAGGTATCATGAGTGCCAGACATTGCTTTAGCCTTGGTGACGTTAGCAAAAATACCTGTCTTTATGACGATGACATTCAGAGGGCAGAGTGGGCAGTCACATATGAAACAAACAAGCAATCCAACATGTTAAGCAAACAAGTCACCCAAGGGAAGGAAATGTCAGCTACAATCGGAAGGGGGATCTGGAATACAGAGGTCGATGGCAAGTTGCAATAAAGTGGGTAGGGGAGACCACACTACAATGACATTTCAGTAGACATCTGAAGGCAATGAGGGAGCTAGCCACATGGATTTCTGGAGAGGGTCCCACAGATCAGGAAGATCAAGTACAAAAAGCCCAAAGGAGAGCCCCACCACACCGAGGCAAAACACTAAGGGTGTGTGGCAGAGCTGCGGGGGAAGCAGAGCAGGGAGGGCCTGAGGGAGTGGCAAGGATAGACTTTGGGGCCAGGGTGTGGTACCCCATCAGACTCAACTGGAGGACACTCCTAGAGGTCAACAAACAGACCTTGAACTATTTACAGGTTTTTATTTTTTAATTGTTTGGGGGTCATTGGTGTCTTTGTTGTCATTTTGTTTTCTTTCGTTGCTTTGTTTTGCTATGTCTTGGTTTTTTGGTGCATATTATTATCTCTGCAGGTCTATCTAGATAGGCTGGTAGGCTGGATGATTAGTCTGGAAGAGAAAACAACGGGACTGATGGTTCCGGGGGGGACATGGGTGAGGGGGAAATGAGGGAAAGGAGGTGGTGCTGACCAACCCAGGGTCAAGGAAACAACAAGTGATCCAAAATCAGTGGCAAGGAAGGGTGTAAGAGGCCTGATAGGGATTGATCAAGGGCAATGTAACCAAGAGAAATTACTGAAACCCAAATGAAAACTGAGCATGATGGTGGGACAAGAGGAAAGTAAAAGGAAATAGAGGAAAGAACTAGGAGGCAAAGGACATTTACAGAGGTATACAGGCATGTACATATGTAAATATATTTATATATGAGGATGGGGAAATAGATCTACATGCATATATTTAAAGGTTTAGTATAAAGGTAGCAGATGGACATTGGGCTGCCACTCAAGTACTCCCTCAACACAAGAACACTTTGTTCTATTAACCTGGCATTCCATGATGCTCACTTTCCGGACACGATCACTGAAGACAAACGGGTGCATAAGCAAATGCAGTGAAGAAAACTGATGGTGCCTGGCTATCAAAAGATATAGCGTCTGG